CCCTACATGCTTAACAAATATATAGATCCCCAAATGCGATAAGTAAAAATAGACAGATAGCTTTATACCTGGTCAAATCAGGTTTTGCAACCAGAAGAGTTTCAAGAATCTGGGTTTTCAGAGCTTTTTAGATTTCGGAAAAGTAAAGAGTCATGAGTTATGGGTCTATATATGTGTTAAAGAGTACTGATTTTCTGTGCTGAAATAATTAAAAATTGTTTCTGATTATTCCAGTTGCCACCTCCCAAGTGCCCAGAAATAATCTGGATTGAGCTGACTGTAGTGGTATATTCTGACCCAGACTCACCATGTCTCCATAGATCTCATCAGCTAAGATGGGGACACACTGCCTTGCAGCCACTGAAAATAAGAGACACAATGAAATCCTTTTTCATGTGAATTACCTGATCATTTAATATTCACCTGGTCTTACTGTCCTTTGTATTTTATGTTTGTGTATCTTGTCTTCCTAATTCTTCTGATACTTTTCCAGGGTACAGAATTTAAATTGATTACTTAATTAACTAGATATTTCAAACACTCTCTTTCAGATGATGGGAATGGTGAAGAGACAAGTATTTCTTTTTTTTCGAGAGTTGTTTTTTTTTTTTTTTTTTGCTATAAGGTATATGCACTCACTAGAGACAGAAAGCAAGATATTACCCCCCAAAGGAGGATGGCTATGTGACAATCCCTTTTCCTCCATTCTCCTCTTGGGATTTTGGGTATGCACACACACTTGCCCAGTATGTCTCAAGCTAAGGGTCCAGGACTGTAATAGCAGTAAACCACTATAGCAGAATCCAGTGCTTTAACCACTACGCCACCTGCTGCCCCCCAGAGGTAAGTATGTCTAAGTCCTACCATCCCTGTGTCACACTTTCCATTAGAGATGCCAGTGGAGCTTCTGTGCCTCCATATAAGGTTTGGAACAAAAGGAACAGCTCGTTTTTGTCATCGTAGTAGACAGCTATAGGATTCTATTTCCATCTTCTCCCAGTGAGATGAAGCCTGCTGGACTTACCTGCTAGAATCTTCTGCAGGTGACTTCTACTGAACACGGACCCACAGGGATTTGATGGATTATTAACAATAAGACAAGCTGTCTTTTCATCAATGAGAGATTCCAGTTGCTTCAGATCAATTTCCCAAGACTTCTCTGGCTGGAGAAGAAGAAAGGGGTAAAACTAAGATAATTCTGAAAAATGTAGCGGGAATACTCAACCCAAGGGAACAATGTAAATAATAAGATGTGTCTTTTGTCTCAAATACACACTTCCAGGCCTTCCTCTGCTGAGGAAATGGTCACATATTTTTTGCAGGGTAGTTGAGCGAGCACTGGAGTCGAAAAAGCTACTTACCAATAAATTGTAGAGTTTGACCTCAATTCCCAAGGATTCAGCTAGAGTCCTGTAGAGGGAGAAACCAGGTCTCGGAACTAGGATGTTTTGTCCCGGGTTGGCCAACACAGCTAGACAAAGTTCAATAGCCTGACTGCAGCCACTGGTCAGAATGACGTCCTGTGAAGGAAAAGGAATGGTTCATTTTGTTAGGGGTTAAGAGAGCGACAGGAGAAAAGAACCTGTCAGATGGGTGAGTTGGAAGCAATGATGAAATAACTTGAACAAGTTCTAAGTAAAATAACAGACTTAGACTATATACTAAGCCAAAACCCAAAGAAATGAACATGTAGATATATGTTCATATCTAAATGCTGTTGGAAATATTGACCACTTAAAAGAAAGAGACAACTTGTTCAAAAGAGGACGGGAGTGCTGACTCGGCAGACCTTTATGAGAGACTTTGGACTTTTTTCACTTGGTTACTTATTTACTTGTGGCCAGAGATTTAAAGGCTGGTTTTTCTCTGAAATACAGATGAAGGACACTTTTTTGGTTTGTTTTTTTGCTATAGGACATACATGCTTGCCAGAGACAAGAGAAAGTGAGAAATCACCCCCCTGGCAGGATGGCCATGCTTCAATCCTTTCTCCTCCATTCTCTTGAGATTTTGGGCATGTAAGCGCACACCCAGTGTGATTTTTTAAGCTCTGGGTCTGACCCTAACCATGCAGTCAGCCAGGTGGGATCCAGCCCCTTAAACTCCATGCCACCTACTGGCCCAGTGAAGGACACCTCTCACTTTAGGAAATGTCAACCCCATGCAGAAGACAACAGAGGGAAGGGTGGCACTGAAACTTGGCACTGCTATCAATCTGACGTGCCAGAGTACCTCTATTTTTTTCATCTGAATTACCTGAAGGTAAGGGAAAAGTGACAAATTAAAAAAATATATTTTCTCTTAGTAAAGTTCATTATTTTAATTATTTGTTTTTCAATGATCTTTTGCAGAGAATCAAATATAGGATGACCTTTGGGTCCCTTGAACCTCTTTGAGACAGGTACTGCGTAAGTTGTAGGTGACATCACTATCATACTGTAAAGACATTAAGTGTAATCAGTTACTCGTGGCCCCAATTCTGTAAGTCCTCAAATTCATAACAGAAAAGTATTGCCAGGTCCCCCCCCCCATAAAACCCCTACTCCTTGTGGAACAGAAACAAGGAGAAGGCTGCAGTGTGTCTTAAATTGCTTCAGAACAGACACCTTGGTCCTTTTTGGTTTGTTTGCTTATTTGTTTGTTTTAGAGAGAGATTTTTGTTATAGGGTACATGCTCTTGCTGGAGAGACAGAGTGACAGAGACAGAAAGCAAGAAGTCACCCCTTGAGGGGGATGGCCACGCCACAATCCCTTCTCCTCCATTCTCTTCTCGGGATCTCAGGCACACATGTACACACACACACCCAGTGTGAGTTTCAAGCCACCAGGTCCGGGACTCGAACCATGGTCGACTATGTGGGAGCCCAGCAACGTAACCATTACACCATTTGCTGATCCCCAGAACAGATTCCTTGTATTAGACTCACCTTAGCTTCCAGGGGGGCCTCGGGACAGTGGTAATAGGAGGCAATCTCCTCTCGACTGGACAAGTAGCCTGAGAGACAAGAACAGAAAGAGGAAGCTAAGGGTTTCCAGTCCTCCACTGACAGCTGTGCCCCAGAGGGCCAGCATGGGCTCAGGGTATGTTCTGCCCAGCTTAGCTCGCAGTTGAATGGAGAGTAACTGCCTATTTTATGTTTTACAGTTTTATTATAACCCTCAATGTATAAGCAACAAGACCTCCCCAAACCATAAAATCTTACACTGTCTTGATGAGCGTAATTATGTTTTATTCTCTGAAAAATCCTACACTGTCTTGATGACTGTGATTATGCTTTATTCTCTGTAAAATAAAGGATCTAGCTTATTCCTAAATCTCTTTTACAGACTATATTTTTTGAGAATCTGAGTTTCCAAGAGTTCGCTTGAAGTCTGGACAGTTTTAGACCCATTATAATATTAGTTTGTTGGGGGGGCGGCAGGTGATGTGGTAATTAATGGCGCTGGACTCCCACATGGGCAACCGCAGTTGGAGTCCCAGACCTGGTGGCTTGCTTTCTTCCTTTCCCTCTCTCTTTTGCTCTGTCCCTCTCTGGTCAAAATAAAATAAAATAAAGTAAAATAATTCTTAAAAAAATGAATATTACTTTGCAAAATTATTGTCCAAAAGACAAGTTAGCAAAGCCAGAGGCAATATTTCATAAAATTTGTTCATTTCATAGGTAAGTCTGAGTCTCTTGAAATTACACAGATCAGCAACTCCGTAGTTATTCATGAGGAAGTACATTTACCTAAACAGATAATATCCTTGGCATGAACTGTTCATATCCTTTGAACGGTTGCCAAATAGGGATTTGGTTTTGTTTTTTTAGGTTGAATCAGTTCCCTAACATTTTGACTATTACAGTTATTATCAATTTTTTGATGCCATAACTTTTGGTTTTGGATTAAGTAGCCAATCCAAAAGTTAAGTCCGTAATGCCTCTTGGAAGAGAGCTTAAAATTTTTGTTTAGCATGAAACTAGGTTACTCTGCATGAGAATGTTTCTGTGTACATATATACACAGGGGGGAAATGTACAACACTGAAACAATGTCGAAAAATTGCTTATTTTACCAAAATGATCTTTGGAGTAGACATTTTTAATAGATGGACAGAGTAGAGTGAAATCTAAATAAGAAGGATTTCTATCAGAAACTGTTTCCCATTCTTCAGTGTGACAGCCCATTCTTTGTTGTTTTAGTCGTGCGTGTGTGTGTGTTTCTTTGACAGAGAGCGAGAACACAGGATGGAAAGAGACAGATGGATAAAGGGAGATTTCTTTCTCAGCATCTCATCCTGTCTCAGCCTCCCAGTTAGCTAGGGCCCCAGGTGCACACCACTACCTTGGCCTGTTTAGGTTGGTCTGGGATCTGAACTCCCACACAGCTTCAACACCCTCCCATCTGTACCACGGCAGATAGAAAGAGTTAAACTTTAAGCCATTACAATTGCATTTCAATCGGATGAGGACATTGAGGAAAACAGGCATTGGGCCACAGTGGCACATACTGCTAAGAAGCTGTGCTCCGCAGGCTGGGACCACATGGGAGGACTGGGATCAATTCCTCATTCAACCTAAAGAGGTAGCATGTGTCTATTATCCCAGCCACCTGGGGAGGCTGAGATAAGAGTATCAAAACATGGGGAGACCTTGTGTTCAAAATAAAAACAAAACAAAACAAAAAACAAAAGAACTCCCAGCCACAGTGTCACAAGCAGGAGGGCGCTGCCATATAGTCCTTGAGGTGGCATGAGGGGCCCATGTTTGATTCCTCACCCAACCTAAATAGGCCAGGTACAGTGACATGTGCCTGTGGTCCTAGTTAATTGAGAGGCTGAGGCAGGAGGATGGCTATGTAGAGACATACTGTCAAAAGTACTTATGTCTCAGGGCCAGATGGGGAAGCCCCAGGTTTCCATGCCAAGGCCTCCCTGCACAGGCTGAGTACATGCATGTGTGCCCATGATCCAGGCTGACTGAAGCTAGATCAGAGGCATAGATCATGGCATGAAGACCCTGTTGGGGTACCTCTTACTCTCTCCCTCAAGGAAGAATTGCATAGATTTTTTAAAATGTCGTTGCTTTCCTCTCTCGGAAAAAAAATAATAACCTTCAATGTCTAGAGGAGGAGAAAACAAAGGAACTGTTTACAGAGGGCAATAAATAAATTAGGTTAGGACCTACGGAATGGTAAGCCAGCAGTTCCAACCAGACAGACACAAGGCCTTGATATTAGCATCAGTAGTAATAGAATGGGAGCACTGAGAAATAAGTATGTTTGGGACACTAGAAGGAGGGATTGGTATGCCAAAGGAGGGTGGGAAAGAAGTGGACTTTGATGGCTTATGTTTAAGACCCCTAAGAGCCCTTTCTTCAAATCCAAAGGGGCCTTTCATCTTAGCCTATCCATCAGGAAAGCAAAGAAAATAGCTAAAAATTTAGTCCTGCTAAAGATTTGAAAACCATCAGGTACAGAGTCTCAAGAGGCTTACCAATGGATGGAGCATAGCCGTTATATTTCCCCGAGTCCAAGGCATCTTTCACTGCTTGGGTAACTTCAGGGTCTGTAGGCAGGTTTCCAAACACAGTGGGGTCCCCTTTTCATGGGAAGAGAAAGCAAAAGAAGCCACAGAGAGGTTACTCTCCTATATCAATCTCCCACTCCTGTCTTCTCCAGCCAGCTAGTGAGGGTGGAAGTAGGGGAACAATGCCCCTTGGTTGAGTGTCCCCAACTCACCAATTGACAGAGAAATCATGGGTTTGTTTGGATTTGGCTTCACTTTTATGCTGTCCACAATGGCCCGGATGGGATTGAAAGTTCTGTTGGACATTTCCGAGGGCTTCACGGACCACCTGGCCTTTCTTCCTTTCATTTTTCCTGACGAGGCGCTTCTCCCACCGATGTTAACGCGAACATCCAGAACCGAGGGGAGGCTGCCGTTGCCATTCATCTTTATGGTGTATGGGTCCATCACCAGCAAAGTTCTCAGGGAAAACACGGAGGTCCCTGTGATGTTGAGAACAGAGCATCATCCTGGGGCTACATTTGTACTAAATGGCAGTGACTTCACTGGGTATTTCTTTTCCATATTCTTTCTTTTGTTGTTGTTTTCTGCTTTCTCACTCAAAGAGCTTTTTGGTTTTATTTTAAGACAGAGATTTTTGTTATAAAGCATATGTGCTCACTGGAGAGACACAGAAGAGAAAGTGAGAAAGGGGGGATGGCCACGCTGCAATCCCTTCTCCTCCATTCTCTCCGTGGGATTTTGGGCACGCATTCACATGCACTCCGCATGAGTTTCAAACCTCTGGGTCTGGGACTCGAACTGTGGTGGGTCATCAGGAGTCCAGCCCCTTAACCACTATGCTATCTGCTGCCCCCACAAAGAACTTTATTATGAAGGAAGGAAGTTTTAAACCTTTTCTTTAAGTTTGTGCTATAGGGTGCATGTGCTCACCAGAGAGAGAAAGAGAGAGACAAGGAAACTGAAAAAAATCCCCCCCCTAGGGGGTGGGGGGATGGCCATGCTGCAGTCCCTTCTCCTCCAGTCTCCCCTTGGGATTTGAGGAACGCACCCACATGTACCCAGCATGATTTTCAAGCCACCAGGTCCAGTACTAGAACCATGGAGCTGGCCATATGGGATCTAGCACTTAACACCCATGCCACCTGCTGGCCCAGGAAAATTTTAAGACATTCTGCAAAGATGGAAAGTAAAGCAAGAACAACTCATTCTACACTGTTAGCAAAGAGTATCCCGTTGGTTACTTGTCTATCGTAAGTGGAAGCTGCACTGTAAGCGTGCAACCGTATAGCTACCTACAACGGAAATCTCTGTAAACATTTAATCATGTTCTAAGTGAAACCAAGGCGAAATGACATGAAAATCATTAAACAATCGAAGCCTACATGTTCCTCCTCTCCTTACAGAGCCGAGAAAGTCTCCCTAACGCTCCCACTCTGTGTCTCGCCCTCTGCAGAGAACCAAGAATTCTCTCACCTTGTCAGAAATTCAGTGTTACTATTGTTTTAGCAAATACAAAGCTGTATCTTATAAATACCTCATGGTTCTGGGTGGAAAAAAAAAGTCAATACACCAGAAAGAAAAAAAATAAACACCACAATCACCACCACCAGATCAGCTCGTGCGGATTTTTACCTTCCAAGTAAAGGAGCAAGTCTCCCAGCTGCAGGACCTGAACGCCCACTTGGTTCTTCCTTGATAAGGCACAGTGACAATGAACCAGACAGGAACCCCGGCTCCTAAATAGTCTCCACAAATGGGCGTTGGGCTTGAGACTTTTGTGCTATTGGTTGGAGGTGAGAGCTGAGCCCTCCCTTTAGCCTTTTTCTTCTCCTCCCAACTCATTGGCACTTCTCACCCCCTAACCCAACTGCCCTCCCCAAATCAGGAATCTGTCCTCGCTTCAAACACTTGGAATTCTCTGTTAACTCTTTCTGGGCCCTTTGTGTGATATTTGAAAAGACTATCAGGGGATCAGCGTTAGCATAATGGCTATGTTGCTGGACTCCCATGTAGTCGACTGCGGTGTGAGTCCAGGACTTGGCGGCTTAGACTCACGCCTGGTGCGTGTGCGTGCATGCCCAAGATCCCGAGAGGAGAATGGAGGAGAAGGGATTGCAGCGTGACCATCCCCCCTGGGGG